TTTAAATTTGTGTATTATACATAATAATAAATACCCCAAATGGGATAGGTCTAGAATCAAATTTGTTAGGTACTGCCCAGTATCCTCATTCTCTTCCTCTCCATCTCTGGGTACCATCTTCATCAGTGGCCCAAACGATACATCTCATTCTCCCCTTCCTGGCCTGTCCGTCACCTCTCAGTGACAGAGTGAGAAAGAGAACTATCAAACTAGATCTGGTACAAATGTCAGTTATGCCACTGTCTAGCTGTGGGTCCTTGGGCCAGGCCAGTGACCTTCTGTGAGCTCCAGCCTCATTTCTAAAACAAAGATACATACCACGAATATTGCAGGGTTGTTACAAAGATTGTCAGTAATATATGTGCCCAATTAGGACCAGGCACACAGCCAGTACCCAATAAACAGATCATTACTCCTGCCTCAGAACTGCTTTAAAGACTACATGAAAGCATGAGTGGAAGGCCTAGAACAATGCCTTGGCAGGTACAGAGGCACTAAAGAAGTTTGTCACATCCTCTTCTCTCTGTTCCTTTCCTCTTTATACGGTATCATTTCAGGCCTCATCTTTCTCACCGATATTATCACAACGATGTCCCCACCAATTCCATTACATTTGTTCTAAAGCACAAAGCTGATTACATCCAACATTTACTTAGCGCCCGTCCCTGACTCTGTACCACCGACCAGAAGGCGTCATAACAGGCTCCTTCCTCGGGAAGCACACAAGGCCCTTCCCAACCTCTCCACTCTTACCTCTTAGGATTTCCTTACCCCCATATATCTCCTCATGCCCAAGCCACTACACAGCCTATCTGCTGTTTCCCAACTGCTCCATGCTCTCATGCCTCCAAGCCTTTCCAGAATGTTCTCTCACTGATGAGGCCTACTCGGTCTTCAAAATATAGCTCAGGCATCTTTTTCTCTTCAGAAATTTCCTTTACCCTGGAATTTTCTTTGGTATTCCAAAGGCCTCTCTGCACACTTCATTCACAACATTTCACAACCTATATTCCAATTTTGCCGACCTTGTAGCCCCAGCCCAACTGTGAAATCCTGGAAGGCAAAGAATCAGCCTTATCATGTTAATATTAGCCCCAGGGCCTGGCATAGTACCTCTGCTCAAAACATGTTTGATGGTTTCTGTGATATAGCCTTAATACTGCTCTCATGAAAATTGGCAATCTAGAAAATAAAAGTGTCACTACAAACATGAAGTATTTCTAGAGACTTTTTGAGATTTCTTTAAATCCAATTAATTTCAAAAAAATCTCAAAAAGATGAAAAAATGCTGAGATACAATTCATACAAATGCTCATATTAGAAGGTATATCAGGCCAAATTATCTGTAAGAAAAAAATAAATGGAATCTCAATATTTACATTTAGGTATAAAATCTAAAGAAAATTTCACACCTGAGGAGATCTTTGACTATGTTCTCATTTTCAACAGATATTTAAAAATAAAATCTTGCAAAAGCAGTCTTAGTTAATAACAAAGTATTTTAAGGTTTTCCTTTTACAAGGATATTTTCGATCTTGGTTGAGTAGGACAAAAACAGTAGAATAATCTTACTGGCTATGCATATGATTTTCCTTTTAAAAAATGAATTTAAAAATTTATTTCCTATTTTCAAATGACTTAAACCTTTTTCATAATGAAACAGACTTTGCAAATTTACCTCCACCAATCATTATAAGAACAGATTTTATATTTTATGTAATCCATAACTATTACCTGCAAAACTGCTATAAATGTACTTGATAAGTAATATAGAATTCCAAAATATCAGTGTGGGTAACGCATTTTGAATGTACTTGTTTAAAATCGAGTCTGTTTCCATTAGACAACAGAAAAAAGAAATAGATAAACTGGAGCTTTTGGTAGAAAAGGAAGAACACTATTTCAACTGTTTTTCAAAAATATTATAACACGCGATTTGTGTTTTATCCAAATATAACTCACTGTATTTAGCACCTCCTGTACTTTCCAGTATATTAGATAATTGCACACCAAGTTAAAAACAAAATAAAGGAAAACATTTTTGCCACCCACCTTTTTTCATAAGAAATGGAAATATTCAACACATACAGAGCACTTTGTAGAGTTCAGCATGACAAGCCCCAAAGGAAGCTATTTTTTCTCTTAATTTAAAAAAATTTGTTTAAGGATTTAAAGAACTTGAAGGGCAAGGGAGAAAGAAAGGAAGGGAGAATTGTGTAATTATTGGTTTTGGTAAAAAAAAAAAAAAATTAGTAATTTCCAAATCCTGTCCTGAAGAAGCACACACATGTCTCAGTGGTGATGGGCTTCCCACCGCCCCCTACAACCCGCACTAAACAGAGAAGCTTCATTTTTTTTTTTTGGCCTATTTGTGCACTGAGCTCCTGAAAGATTTTGTTTGAACAAAGGTATCCATGACTTTAAAAAGTCTGAAAATCACTAAGAAGGATCAACCAATATCCAATGGATAATATTGACATTAACACCTAATAAAACAATAAATTCAAGTATTCAATAAGGAATTAACGGTTTTAAAAAGTGGTAAAACATTAAGAAGTAGGAAACACTAGTATCTGTGGTTGCTCTACCTTTATGAATAAATTTGTGTTTTTTACTTCTGATCAGAGATTTATTGGGTATGTTGTTTGTTTAGGGAGGAGACACGTAGGTTAAGCTTCTACGACTTGGTTTTGGCCAAAGGACAACTGATGGTTTTAGCAAGGACCTGGCCATGAACCCAAAGCAAACAGCTGTGGAAAGGGAAGCCATACTCAAGATGAGAGGAGACATTATTGGGCATGTTTGTTTAGGTGGCTGGGAGGAGGCCCACAAAATAATCCTGGGGTGGGGTACCTATCCTGCTTCAGTGGAGGCCGACAGAAAACTTTATACCTTTCCCAGGGATACTTCTGATTTTTAGCATCTACTTCCTCCCATATCTCCCCTTCCAGGCCAATTAATGCCATCAAAAAATCAGAAATTAGCATTTGCAATACTTTATGAAAATAGTCATTTTCTAAATAAACCAGACTATTAGAAAACGTCCACCTTTTTATATGCTTTGTTTTTGCTGATGAAAATGCTACAGAACCAAAAGCGTCTTTGCCAATGACTCTGGGCCATGACACAAGGAGATGGAAAGCTAGGATGAACCTTCTCCCTGCCCTCTCTTCCCTCAGCACATGGTATTAGGAAACTGTGACAGAGAAGAGAATAAAGTTTCAAAATCATGTAAGAAGAAATCTATTACAGTTTTTTTCCTTTCCAAAACGCTTGTGTAGCTAGTGAGATGATGGGTGATTTTTCCTATTTGCCAAACTTCCTATAATATGGTAATTACTATACAACAGAGAATGCAGTTGAGTTGCTCCACATTAAGACTCATTAATTTCAAAAGATCCAGATCAGAAGAAAAAAAATAGCATTTGCATTTTGAAAGCAAACTGTATGACTGCACAGTGATAAAAATAATCCTTACCATTTGGTTAAAAAAAAATGTTGACAAGAAGAACAACAATAATTTTAACTACTTTAAATTAGTAACATTTAGTTCCTAACATCTTTTGGATATTCTTTTGAAGGTTCAGAAATTAAAATGCTTGTTTGTTGCAAACATGGGGAATTCCGCCAAATATTACTGTCATACATATACTGTCGAAACTTTGGTCCTTGAATTATTTTATTATGTAGTTGACCTATTTAATAAGATATTAAGAACCACAATTCTAGTTTCTTTCCTATGGTAAAATTATGGCAACAGAAAAGCAATTCTATACCTACAGTAAAATGCCAATAAAATACTAATGCCTGCAACAGAAGTCCAGTGACTCAAACAATCTACATCCAAGACTGTATGTACCTACAGACTTTCCTATGCTACTTTCTGGACATACTGACAAATGAGGAGAAGTTCCAGTTTATTTTCTCAAAATAGATAAGCTATGAGAGCCATGTACAAATTGTTTATAGAGGTATTCATTTCTTCAAGGAGATCTAATATAAACCATCTATAAGCATAACACTATGATTTCTGGCAAGATTCCAAAATGACTTCTTGCTCTGAAATTTGTATTTGAAAGAGACCAATTCAGGGGCTAGCTGTTTCAATCCCTTTTAGAATAAGGCAAGGAATATATAAACGTATCAACAACAGGTTTTGAAATTCTATACCTTCAACAAAATATCAAATTTTAATTTGACTCTATGTCCTTCCTCTTAAAATATATAAGTTGTTTATAGCACATTTATATCATAATGATCACTACTAAATACACAAAGGCAAGAGCAATCACATTTGTATTGTTTTGCAGATGACATTTATTTTCTGACCATAAAATCTATCTCCCCAAAGAGAGAGCAATACGTTGGTATATTTCTTTTCTATTTTTTAAACAAAAACAAAAACAAAAACAGAGCTCATCTCTGACACATATACAGACTTATAATAAATCCTGGGTTTTTAAAAGTGAATTATTTCTCCATAGGTGTCTAACCACCATGCAGTGTTGGGGGAGATGCAATGCGTAGCTTCTACCACCAGAGGGCACTCCTAAAATCCTGAAACAACTTAGAAACACATTTTTATTTGCTACAATGAAGGACACCTAGTCCTACTTGAAGTTCAAGAGCTCAGTAGTGCCTTTAAAATCGCGTTGCAGAAAACACGTGTTTCTTCATTAAAACTGAGATCATGATAAAGGTGCATAATTTCTACCCAAGGCATATCTTCTGGGCCTCATATCCTTGTTGAGCAGGATATGAACATAAGTAACTTCAAATTAGAGCGTTCAAAAATTACTGACTAACCAATCTCATATGATTATCCTTCTAGACTACATGTTTATCATCAACAACAAAAAAAGTTCACGTTTCTGTAGAGAATAGACATTCAATAATGGCTTCAAATACGTATATGATTTAAAAGTTGGTCAGAAAAGATTTGTGTTAACATACGCATGACACTTCAGTTCAAGGAAACGAGTCACCCACAGGCACCTTACCTGTTTCCTGGGAATTCAACACTTCTAAGGCATGCATCATGGCACTTGCAAAGACATTGGCATCCTCTTTGCTGCCAAAGTTGAGACCATACACCTGTCTAGCATCTCGCCACTGGTGGAAGGTCTGCGTAGCTTGATTGTACTTCAACCCTTTAGGAATGGCACAATTTATCACGACCTAAAAGACAGTAATTCTTTATAAAGTCAAGGCAATAACTGGCAAAATCAACCAACTCAACAAACCCTGATTGGACAGACATTCACGCATTCAAACATGCTCCGGACATCCCTAAGCCAAAAATGTTCAAAACAATTATCTAGGGTACAGTCTGCAGAAATAATAAGTCTGATGAAAGTTACACTGTCTGGCCTTAAAACAGTAAATGGGCAAAACAAAAAGAAAATCTATATCCCTCATTATATACATTTTAACATGTTGATTAAAGTATTATAAATTCACAAAGCATAGAACACATAAGCACGTATCTCAGTGAACATTCCCATGTAGTCAAAACCCTGATCAAGAAATAGGACGTCCTTCTTAACCCCTCCCACCTCCAAAAGGTGCTAGCTACACTTCAAACATTATAGATCAATTCTGTAGGTTTGGGGACTTGATACACATGGAGTTCCACAGTAAGTATTATAATGTATCTGCTCTTTTCCCTAAAAATTGTTTATTCTGTGTAACTGAGGTTTCTTCTTTTTCATTGCTCTATGGTATTCCATTGGATAAATCACACTTATTTATCCATTCTCCCACTAATGGACATTTGAATTATTTGCAGTTTGAGGATATTAAAAACTGTGATGTTATGAACATCCTACTAAATGTCTTTTTGTACACATGAGCACACATTTCTGTTGGGCATATGTCCAGGAGTGCAAATATCACAGGCCATACATACAGAGTTTCCAACATTAGTAGAAAACTCCAAGTAGCTTTCCAAATTAGTTCTACCAATTTTCACTTCCGTAGCGGAGGATAATGGTTTGCACAACTATACATGCAATCCAACATTACAATCTGTATTGTCGGTCTTCAACAATTCTGATGGGTATGAATACCGTATCTAGCTTGCATTTTCCTGATTACTAATAAGATTCAGGACTTTTTCACGTTTTAATGGCTATCTGGATATCTTCTTTTATGAGTAACTGCTTAATTAAATCTCTTGCCCATTTTTCTACTGAGTCGTCCATCTTTTTTTTTTATTGCTTTGTAGGAGTCCTTTATATATTCTGGATATAATCCCACTGTTGGCTATCTGTGTTGTAAATATCGTCTCCCTTTTTGTTGCTTGCCTTTTCACTCTCTAATGGTGTCTTTTGATGAACAGAGCTCTTAACTTTTTTTTTTTTTTTTAGCTGAGCCATCCTGCTACCTGTTGGCAGCTCAGCGGCTGCTCAGCTCGGGCTGGACTCGAACCGCTGTTGCTCAGAGCTCAAACTCTTGAGCGAGCTCTTAACCAACTGAGCCACTCGGCCAGCCCCAGAGCTCTTTACTTTTATTCATTCCAATTTCAGTCCAAATTAGCAACCCTTTCCTTCACAGTTAATGTTTTTGTAACCTGTTTAAGAAATGTTTCTCAATCCCAAGGTCATGAAAATATCCCAGATTACTTTATAAAAGCCTTATTGTTATAACTTTCATACATCTCCAATCCAACTGGAATTGATTTATGCCTCTGGTGTGAAATAAGGTTAAAGTTTCATTTTGTTTCAATATTACTGTTCAACTGATCCAGTCCTACTTATTAACTGTGCGGCAGGTTTGCCTTTTCCATAACTCAAGTGGCTGAATGGCTTTATTTTGTTCTACTGGTCAATATGCTGTCTTGGGGTCAATGTCACAGTGTCTTTCTTATTGTGGCTTTACATTAAGTCTTTATAGCCACCAGAGTATGTCCTCCTGCTTTGTTCTTCAATATTGTTTTGATTATTCTCAGTCCTTTGTGTGCGGAGACAATTTTATACTCTGGTTATCAATTTTGTGTTATTGATCCAACCTGCCAGTCTCTGCTTTTAACTGGAGTGTTCATTTACATTTAATGTAAATTATATATAAATGTGAGTCTAAATCTACCATACCTTCTTTATTGCTCTCCCCTCTATTATCTTACTGTTAAAATTTTTTCACTGTTTTAGTGGTTGCCCCCTAGAGATGACAACAGGCATCTCAAACTTATCAAAGACAAATAAAAACTAGTATTTTTACCTTTCCCTCAACAATACAAGGATCTTACAAACACTCCAATAGCACCCCCTTTGTCCCATGCCCATCTCAGGACTCCTTTGCTATTTTTATTGGTTATTTTAATTCTATGTATATTAGATAGTGTATAAAACACTATTACATATCACGGTACAGTCGATGATCATCTGAGATCAATGTTTATGCTTCTATTGCTTTTTATTCTTCTGCTCTCTTCCAGCTTCTGCTGGGACCATTTTTGATCTTAAAACATTTCTTTCGATGCAGATCTCCTGGTGATGAATTATCTTCATTTTTCATTTGTCTGAAAACATCTTTACTTCACTTTCATATTTGAAAGATATTTTTATCAGGTATAAAATTTTAAGGAGTCATTTATTTTCTTACAATACTTTGAAGTCCACTGCCTTCTAGCTCGTTATTTCTATTGAAAAGTCAGCTGACAATTTGTTGTTCCTTCTTTAAAATCATCTTTTTTCATCTGACTGCTCTCAAGAGCTTCACCTTGTATTTTGTTTACAGTGATTTTTTTATTATGATGGGTTTATATATGGTTTTCTTTGTATTTATCCCACTTAAGGTTTACGGCATTTCTAACTTGATATTTTTTCATCACTTTTGAAAATTCTTGTTCATTATCTCTTCAATTATTGTTCAGCCCCATTCTCTCCTCTCCTCTGGGACTGATTACACATACATTATATACTTTTTTACTACATTGCCTATGTCTTTAAGCTTTTTAAATACCTACATTTCTCTCTCTCGGAATATCTTAGCTTCACTCTGAATATTCTTTTCTGACCTATATTCCAGTTTACTAACTCTTTTTAGCTGCTTCTAATTTGTTGTAAAACCCATCACTGAGTTGTTAACAGCAGTTATCTTATTTTTTCATTCTAAAATTTCCATTTAGTTCTTTTTTTCTAGAATCTAGTCCTCTGCTGAAATTCTCAATCTTTTATTTCCTTGATTATTTTATTATTATTTCCATATATATACTATTTCCATGGTTATTTTAAAGTCAATTTCTGATCATTGTATTAACTGGATTCCCAGTGGATCTGTTCTAATGCTGTTCCTGTTGTCTCCTTGTATGCCTGGGTATTTTGACTGAGTGCCAGACATTGTGTATGGACCATTGTATGGAAATTTTGAAGACTACAATGATGTTATATATTTCCAGGGAAAATTTACATTTGCTTCTGGCAAACAGCAAGGAAAACTAACAATCTCAAATCACTTTAATCCAAAAGTGATTGAAATTAGAGGCTGGGTTTCAGTTCCTACAAAGGCCAGACTAATTCTGAGTCAAACTTCTCCCAAGGGAATGGGGCTTCGGGGTACCAAGTCATCACCTGGGGGATGACCAAGACAACACTCTTTCATTAGCAGGCTCTAACTAAAAAAAAGGGACATTTTTGTTCTACTAGTCCCATGAGTCTCCTCAAAATCTGCTCAGCTGCTCCATCTCCTCTTTCAAAACTGACACATGCCTCTAGTAAAGAGAGGTCCAAAGCTTGGGTTCACGTCTCTGGTTCATTCTTTCAGATCATAACTGAAACAACTCATAGTCCTTTCCTTACGTGCTTAACAAACATTCAAATAAATGGTGCGTGATTTTTCTTTAATGGCTCTTTACCACAAAAAGATTAAATGTTGTTTAATAAGTTATAACAACATGTTTCCACTTAGGGGGAAAAAAAAGTGAAAATCGTTAAGAAATGTAACAAGGTACTGTGGAATGACAGGAAACCAATTTTTATTAGATATCTCGGTAAGTACATCATTGTTTTTGTTAATGTAGTATCTTTATAAAATTATATTTTCTAATTGTTTATTGCTAGTTATACAAAAATGCCACTGACTTTTATATACTAATCTTGTATCCAGCAACCTTACTGAACAATCTTTATTAGTTCTATTATTTTATCTGCAGCTACTCGGGATTTTTTTATGTAGACAATTATATCATGAGTGAATAAAATCAACTATGTTTCTTTCTTTTCAATCCTTATAGATTCTATTTCTTCATCTTCGTATCACTTAGGTTACCTCCTCTGCAATGCTAAATAAAGTAATTAAAGCTGAAATCCCCAACTTATTCCTGAGTTTGATGGAAATCTGCCCAACACCATACTGTCCTGTAAGATGTCTGCTGTATGTTTGTATTACTCATCCTTATCAACTTAAGAAAATTCATTTTTATGCCAAACGTGCTGAAAATTTTAGGTACAGATTTTACTTTTATCAAAAGCTTTTCCTAAATTTCTTGTTTCTTGTAGGTTTCTCCTGGTAAACTACATTACTAAGTTATCTAATGTTAAACTATCCTTATACTACTGAGATAAAAAGAGATAAAGCCCATTTGGTCAGAGGTGGTCTTTTTCTTTTTTTCATGTACCCTGCTGCATTTGGTCTGCTAATATCTTATTGATGACTTCTATATCTCTGTCAATGTTCACAATTGAGTCTGGCTTACAATTTTCCTCTCTCAAACTGTTCTATGTTTTAATTTTATTTATTTATTTATTTTTTTAGCTGAGCCATCAGCTCAGCGGCAGCTCAGCTTGGGCCGGGCATCAAACCGCTGCTGCTCAGAGCTCACACTCTTGAGCGGTGTTCTATGTTTTACATATCAAAATTATACTAGCCTCATAAAATACTACTCTTTAAAACAGTTTGCATTAAAAAGGTAGTATTTTGAAGACTTCTAGATTTTCTTTTTAACGCTCTGAACTCCATTTTTTTAAATTTGGCTATAGATAAACTATTGATATATTTTATGATTGTAGATCTATTATATTTTTCTACTTTCTACCAGCTTGGGTAAATTATATTTTTCTACAAAATGGCTTATTTATCGGCATAAAAGAGTTCATATTACCTTATAGTAATTTATTGCTTTACTATAACTATAATGATACTCTTCCAATGCTAATGCTGTTTATTTGTAACTTTATTGTTTGATTCTGCCAATTTTTCTACTCAGCAGAGAAGCGTTTGTGTTAATAATTTCTATTTATTTTTATTTAATTAATGTCTTCTTTTATTTTTAGTATTTCCTTCTGCTTTCTTTAAGTTAAGCTCATTATATGCCCTTAAGGTGTGTCCATCTAAGGACAGCTTAGACGTCCCACAGATTTCTCTAAGTAATACCTTGTCACTCAGGTCTAAGTACATTCTTATTTTCTAAACATTTTCTAATCTTCATAACGAGTTCATCTTAGCATCATGAATTATTTAGAAGTGCTTTCAAATTTCCACATATTTTTTAAAATACTCCATTTGTCAAAAGCTAGAAGCCATAGGATAGTTTACTTCTCTTAATAAAAATGTCAGTGTTTCACATGGAAATTTCCAGACTTGGACAGATTTCTTTCTACTTGTTTTTAAAGATTCATTCTTTTTTGCCGCCACTGAAGATACTTTTAGGACTGTTCGTTAGTACAATGGACATTTTCCCCCATAGAGACTATTTTGACTACCATTTTACAGCACTACCTTATTTTACTGAATATGCCAAGTCCTTTTGTGACACCGGACGACTAAGAATCTCTCAGACCCTTACCTGATGGTCCTGAATCTTCCTGCCCACCACTCGAAACGTGTTGTTGCCTGTGTGGTGATAGATATGAACTCTGCTGAACCCAGTTGAGCCACCAGCTGGCACCCACTTCTTATTGGCATCATCATAAACCATCACAGCAGCTCTTGCCTGGCAGATACTCTGTTCACTGTTTTAAAAAAAAGAAAAAAAAAAAAGAGCAAACTTAAGATATTTAAAATATGCTGTTTCCCACATAGTCATATAAATCAGAGGTAGCCAACCTAGCAGTCAGTCGACACTTAGTGCTTTACTGGGTGTAGAAACAACACTGAACTAGAAAGGCTTCCTACCCTTATGGGTACAGGTTCCTGGGGAAGGTGGATAAAAAAGAAAATGAAGAGTGACAAGGGACGAGACGGAGGCCAGGACCCACAAAAAGCATCACACAAGCAACACAAAACATGTTTTCTTCTAAATGTGCACACCTGGTACAACTGAATACAACTACAAGTATAAATCAATCACCATCTGTTTAATCATATGTATGTTTATGATATTAGTGACCTGTTTCTGATTCCCCTCTTTACTGATATTTTTACCATCAGGCTTGCTGCAAGGTCTGTAGCAAATTCTGATAAGCTCTCTCTGCCCCTTGAGATACGGAGTGGTTACTAACAACCAAGGGATGGCTATGTGACTAGGTCTTTGATTCCACTGGGGCAAGATAACACCCTGTATTTCAAATCTCCTCACTTAAAAATGAACAAGTAAGATGAGATGCTTTCTAGGGATCCTTTTAGATTTTAATGCTAACCTTCACAGATAAATATTAAAGAAAAGAGCAATTTCATGATAATATCTCTAAGTCTCAGCTTCACCTCAATTATTTGTTACCAAACAAGACTGAGATACATGAATAAAATGAGGGGAAATTATTTTATATTAAGCACCAGCTTCATCTTTCAAAAATTCTATAATCCTACTGGGGGGAAAAAGACTGATTTGAATTTTACTTTATTTCATATCGCATTTTATTTTATTTTTTAAATCAAATACCGAAAGTGAGCCACAGAAGGAAACAGGTACATGAACTCTAAGCTGGCTACTGGCCCAATTAAAATAACTCAATCCCCACAGAGGAGCCATCTCTGATGTTTAAGCCATAGTTAACGGAGACGCTGCTCAGTAGCTCATCCAACCCCATCTTTAATGAAAGCATTGCTCCATCCCACCCATTTTAGCCTCAAAGATTTTAAACAGTAAACCATGTGGGTTCTTTACCAATATCCTCAGAAACAAAAAGTAACTTTCATGGCCTTCCCTCTTACTCACACGTCTGCCTTTTGTCTCAACAGTGTATGCATATATGTGTTTTACTCAACTTGTCATATGACTTGATGACAGAAGAGCCATGGGGAACCTTAAGAGATCACAGTACTGAGCAATTACATTGCTGCAAAACAGTGGGGTTATCATTGTTTATAATTTTCCATTAGAGAAATTTTACAAAAACTCACTTGTACCAATATTTGAGCACCACAAACACTGAGATAAACCCAGTGGTAGTCTAAATTTTTATGCTTCACTGAAATTTTTTAGTAAAATAGTTCTGGAAATAAAAACAAGCCAATGACTAAAGCTTGAATTATTTTTAAAAGCTTGATTAAAGAGCATTTGTCAGCACAGCAGTTGAAATCACAACAGAAATACCTAACTGACAATATTTCCATAACCCTATAGAAAGATTACATGAAACAAGCTAAAGCAAAGTGCCTCTTACAGCACGCAATCCAAGAAACAAATTTACTGCTAACTGTAAGTAACAACTCAATAAACAAATCTGTAAATTAATAAAGAACAGTCTTTTCCAGTTTTCAAAAATATTTTTGGACATACACTATGATTCCCATGGTTCAAGAAATAATGTCTCTCTTCAAGAAAGTCCCAGTGGGATCATACGAGCTAAAGTAACAGCTAAACCCCTATTTTGTACATTAGGTCATTCCATGCCTTAAAAAGAAAAGTTTAAAAAAATATACAGGAAATCTAACACCAGGAGACTTAGATAGACTATCCCAACTTCTTCCTCCACCTTTTTGTTCCCTGTTGCTATAATAGTGGGTTGTTGCTAGAGACATTCTAAATATTGAAGCACATAGTTAACTGAATAGCTTTGACTAGTGCTTAATATACAAACCACTTAGTCAACAATCAAATAAATGTCTGGTCATTTCAGTGTCCCTGGGAAAGCTGTTACCATAGAAACAAAGACATCTCCAAGTGAACATAATCAAAGTAGCCAAGAAAGGCCCAAACTGCAAAAATTAGTTGATTAGTTTTCTAATGAAGATGAAAAGAAATCTTCAAGGTAAGATGTTAAGGATACAAATCCAACTCTAAACAAAACCAAGCAGCTGCAGGAGGACCCAAGGTTAAAGAGAAAGAAAACTAAGATGTGAGCATGAGCTGAGATATTGTTGGAGAAGTAGCAACAGCCACGAGAGTATGTGGCAAGCTGTGAAGGGGTAGACAGGTTAGGCCTGAATAACTCTGTAATCCTAGAAGACATCGGGTACTCAGAGAAGCCACATCAAGGCCCAGCCAGGCGGACATGGCACTGATTGCTGGGGATCTTAGTGACAAGTTCAAGTCCGTTCCTTTCCATAACACATGAAGACCTTTGCTTGCTAGACACAGACGTCCTGTGGTACAATAAGAAATACCTGGTTCTGGTATTTGTCTGGTTCTGGCACAGAGCTCCTACACCCTTTGGCATCTCCTAAGCTGTAAGAGTGTCTTTGCCATGCTAATGAGAGGACTGAGGCTTCAGGATGGGAACTGGTTGCCAGAAATACCAAGCCATGATGAGAGGGTTGAAATTTCCAGTCCGTCCCTACAGCCCCCACCTCCTGGAAGGGAAGAAGGGCCAGAAATTGGGTTCGCTCACCAATGGCCAATGAGTTCATCAAACATGTCTCTGTAACGAAACCTCCATAAAAACACCCAAACAAGTTCACATCGAGATGCTGGTTGGGTGGCATGCCTGCCCAGAGAGGGCATGGAAGCTCTGCGCCCAACCTATACCTTGCCCTATGCAACTCTTCCATCTGGCTGTGCCTGAGTTGTACCCTTTATGTACTTACTATGTAATAGTACTTTCCTAAGCTCTGGGAGTCGTTCTAGCAAATTATAGAAAGGGGGTCGTGGGAACCCCTGAATTTGCAGGCAGCCAGGCATAAGTGTGGGTAGCCTAAGTACCCCTCTGTCAGCTGGCATCTGAAGTGAGGGCAGTCTTGTGGGATTGAGCCCCATAACCTGTGGGGTCAGTACTAACTCCAGATAGCGTCACCATTGGATTGAATCGGTGGACACCCATTTGGTGCGGAAAAATAGGAGAATTGGTTGTTGATGTGAGAAAATTACTCAGTATACCAACTCTAATTACAGGTGTGCACAAATAAGCCAGTGGTATCCAATGTGGGATTTCATGGACGTATAAACTTCAACAGCAGATTCGATAAATCAGTATAGAACTGGTTGACAATATTTTGGCCGACTTGCCAGGTAGGATATCGGGGATAGGGGAGGGATCACCATAACTTATTAAAATAAGGGTATTTTGGAACTTCAATATCTCAAAAGAATGTAATGTAATATACTGTAAATGTAATAACTAGCTTTCTACACAATTCCCTCCATTGTCCATGTTTTTTTCATTTCTCCCTGGTCCAGTGAAATACTTATAGGGTCTGCTTTACAGTATGCTGGCCTTAATCACAACAGAACTGCCTATATGTTGTGTGTATACAAGCAATAGAGCAGCGATAGGGACAACGCAGAGGTTTTTCTGATAGAGATTTCCAGCTTCCTCTAGGAGGATTTTCAGCTGAGAAAGTCAACGAGTGAATTTCTGAAATGCTGTTCATTCTGAAATTGTACACATATGTGCAGTTTTTCAGGGAAAAGTCACAAGGAAAAAAGGCAAGATTTAAGAACCACAGCTACCAAAAGTCAAAAAGGAAAAAAAAAGAAAAGAAAAGAATCTAAAGAAGCACAGGAAAAAAGACAAAAATTGTGTAATATTTTTTTAATTAAAGTTTATTGGGGTGACAATGGTTAGTAAAGTTAATAGGTTTCAGGTCTACAATTCTTTATACTATCGTTCTATCTGCACTATACCAAAACTCAAAATGAACACCTAATCAAAGCCTTCAACATTCTAAAGGAACTACACAAAAGATTAAATCAGTAAATTACTAAATTAGTTTTGTGAAGATCAGGCACTAAATCAGTTATAAACAAAAGTTTCATTTTATGACCAAACGCAGTTGGTATATATAGACAATATAATCTACATGCATCTTCCTGATGTTAACTTTGATATTTTAAATAAAACATGCCATTAGAAGGCTAGAGACAGCTGGTTTTTTAAAAGGTATAAAAAACCATGACGCTATGTTACAATTTTGTGACTTTATCAAGTAATTCATCTCTGAATATAGTCAAATTTTGTATATATGATCATAGAGGATGCTTGCCAAATTCTATTCTCATAGGTACCAGTGCATGAAATACTTCCTGGTATTTAAGCAGACTAAGGACTGTTTGGCTATTCTGCTATATGCTGTTTATTGAGGTTGTAATAAAGCCAACTCTTTGAAAACAGCAACTTCCTTTCAAAGACACCACTCATTAGTCATTATTTGACAAAGAAAGTGTGAATATAACAGTGTCTGGCAAATAGTAGGCATTCTTTAAATGCTTGTTTAGTACATAATTTCATCTAACGAAACCTTACTTATCAAGAACTGGATCAAATACCATTTCTCGGTTAAGTCTTTCTGGGGTCCCCAAAGCCAGAAAACTACCCCCTCCTGCTTCCTGACAGGATTCATTAACCTTCAACAAGGATGTCTCTCTGGGGAGGTAATATCTGAACCACAGGCAAGAGTTGAGATTTTACTTCAAGTGCACTGGGAAGCACTTGATGGCTTTAAGANCCACAAAATACACACGAGTTTATTCACATGACCACATCACTTTTGTAACTGAGGTCAGATAAGAAAGATGCTCTTAGATTTCCTTATGGAACTGTTGCTAAGCATTATACACATTATCAAACTCACCGATACAGGGATTATAGTTTTGGCTTTCCCCCTCACACAGCCTGTAATTCAACAGGGCTTC